TAAGTGTGAATTAGATGAGATTCCACACTTACCGGAGTGATCGTGCTGATTATTTGTTAATTTTCAGCATATCCTCATTTCCTTTATCTCCTGCAACCATTTCAGGGAATCATCCCTTCATTGTCAGATTTTTTAGTGGAGAGAAGATCAAACACTCATAGGAATATTTCATAATTATGACTTATGAATCAGTATTCAATATCTCAAAATGTGGCTTTTATCTCCTAATTTCTAGAACTCAACCATAAGAACAAAGAAAACAAGCTACATATATGAGTTGAGATAATACTTGCCAGAAACCTGAGTCACACCATGAGTTCTGATTTCCTGTACAGAAAATGTTAACAGGTAACAGTAAGCCTTTATGCTTTCCCAAGCACCATTCTAACTAAGTACATGCATTATCTCATGTAACCACCACAAAAGTCCTAGGAGCCAAGAACTATTATCAGCCTGCTTTTTGCAGATGTGGAAACTCAAGGCTGAGGAAACAAGGTTACCTAATTAGTAAGTAGAAGAGTCAGTAGAGGCTGGGCACAATGGCTCAAGCCTGTAATCTTAGCACTTTGGGAGGCTGAGGCAGGTGGATCACCTGAAGTCAGGAGTTCGAGACCAGCCTGGCCAACATGATGAAACCCCATCTCTACTAAAAATTCAAAAATTAGCCAGACGTGGTGGCAGGTGCCATAATCCCAGCTACTCGGGAGGCTGAGGCAAGAGAATCACTTAAACCCAGGAGGCGGATATTGCAGTGAGCTGAGATTGCACCATTTCACTCTAGCCTGAGCAAAAGAGCGAAACTCTGTCTCAAAAAAAAAAAAAAAAGAGTCAGTAGAACTTTTACTCTTAAGCATGATTCAGATTTATAATATTAAAGAGCATCTTTGGCCGGGCGCGGTGGCTCAAGCCTGTAATCCTAGCACTTTGGGAAGCCGAGGCGGGTGGATCACGAGGTCGAGAGATCGAGACCATTCTGGTCAACACGGTGAAACCCCGTCTCTACTAAAGATACAAAAAAATTAGCTGGGCATGGTGGCACGTGCCTGTAATCCCAGCTACTCAGGAGGCTGAGGCAGGAGAATTGCTTGAACCCAGGAGGCGGAGGTTGCGGTGAGCCGAGATCGCGCCATTGCACTCCAGCCTGGGTAACAAGAGCAAAACTCCATCTCAAAAAAAAAAAAAAAAAAAAAGAGCATCTTTGGAGTATTAATTAAAGAATAGCAGTTTTTCACTGATGTAGATTAGACATTTTCACGTTATATTGCTCAACTCTCCCTGTAACTCTATGGGGCAGGTATTATTAGGGTTGTTTTATAGGCTCTGACTGGCCCATGCATTCATACCTCCATGACTAGAACATTCTGGGTCTGGGGCCTCAGGACCTAAGATCACTTCCTAATCACAGTCATAAGAGAGGCTGTTAGCCTAGCTGGCTCTCCCCAACCCTTTGGTCACAGATGTCATCACCACAAGAGAGAGAGCAGGATAAATTGGTTTGGCTACTACCTTGGCAGATGCTAATTCCAGTCATCTGGGAGATGTCAAGCATTCCCAACTCCTCACACTTGAATAATATCCATGAAATATTTTCCCAAATCCACATATGAAAACGTTGATAAGGACAGACTAAGGATTTCTGCCCCAGGAAGACCACATAAGCATAACCAGCCACAAATCACAGATGTTTCATTCTGAATTTCCAAATTTGGATCCAGACTTCCAGGACCAAAGAAGCTGTCTCCAGCCGGAGCACAGGCTTACCAAAAGAGAGAGAGAGAGAGAGAGAGAGAGAGAGAGAGAGAGACAGAGAGAGACTTGCTGCTTCAAGATAGCTTTCATTAGTTGCTGATTTCATGATGCTTTCGATCCCAAATTTTTCTATTTTAACTTAGTTTTCTATATTCAGGGCTTTAAAATGGTTTAGACTTCAGATCAAGTGATTTTTATAATACTCTTCATCTGGTCATCAAGAAAGCCTGGCAAATGCATTATAACGCGACTTGGAGAAAGATGACCTTCAATGGCTAGGTATTTTTCCATCAATGTCTGTTGAAGACTAATGGAAACCTAAGCCAGCCTTTGGAAGCTGACGAAAGAAATTTAGATTCATTTCTGAGCTCAGATGCTTGTGTCTCACACTCACAGGATGGTGTGACTCAACAGAGAAAAACAAATTCAACCCATGAACTCAGCTGTTATTTAGGAAGTCTCTTACCATCATTTTAGGTCACCAGTTGAGGAAAACATCTATAATACTTAGGTTAAAAATGGATGAAATCTGCAAAGCAGCAGTTAGTGATGAGCCAGTGAATGCTAACTCCATGCAAACTGCTCTCTGCAAATAAGATGCCTTGCTACTGAACGACCCTGTTACTTCTTCACCTTATTAGTAATTTTTTCTGAAGATAATAAATACTAGGGTCTTCAATTTACAGGTGAGTTATATTTAAATGTGTTTTACTGTTACAGATTTGTATACATAATGACCAAAATACTCAGTCCACTAAGAAACACATTTACCCAGGGTATTACAAAGTCTGACTTGATAATAAAATAAAACTTTTATTAAATTATTTTACTGACTGCAAAGGTAATATATTCCCTCTATAGAAAACTGAGATCAGAAACTTTTTAAAAGAACATTAAAATTTCCCTTAATCCCATTATTCTTATAAACATTATTATCCTTTATTTACTTTTTTCAGATATATTTTTAGTGGATATATGGCATTTTAAACAGTTTGGGTCATAACATATAAACTATTTTATATTTTGTATTTCCCCACTCAATATTATATTGAAAGACTTTCCACATCAATTCTTTCACAAATAACTTTAATGTCCACTGACATATAATAACTATAATTCATTTAACTGTTCCTCTTTATGTATGTTTGGATTTTTTACCTTTTTATTAATATAAAAAATATTGTGAAACACAACTTGTATATATAATTTTTTCTATTTTTTTTAATCTGGAGTAGATTTCTAAACATAAAGAATACTGTACCAAGGGTCATAACTAGTTATACAACCCTTATTATAAGGGGTCAAACTTCTTTCTAGAATGTTTCATGTCAACACACATTCACCACTACTGAATAACACAACTGTCATAAATCTTTGCCAATTTGTCAGTATTTCACTGTTTTTAAATTGCAATTCTTTGGTAACTTATGAAATAGAGGACTTCTTAGATGTTTAATGTTTTTTCCGAGAATTGTCTTTTTATTAGTTTTACCCTTATTTTATCTTAATGATGTGAGTGAATATTTTAATTTGTTAAAAACTGCTTCTATAGTAACAACTGTCATACTTGCAATTGTTTTTCCAGGGTGTTCCATATCTCCGTGTAGCTGAGTGCATCAGTTTTGTTTTGTATCTTATACCATTATGTTTTTATTTTAAAATATTCTTTATCCACTATGGATGAAATATATGTTGATTTCATTATTTTTTGGTTTTGTAAAGATCTATATTTTATCTGAAGTCTTTAAATACATGCTATTCTTTTTTCTCTTTTTCTTTTTTTTAATGATGGCATTAAGAAGAGACTTACTTTGTTTTGAAAAACACCTATCCAATTATTTAGAAATCTTTTATGAACTATACATAATACCTTTTAAATATTCTTCACAAATAATCTTCTTTAGTGGCATTGCTATATTTGTTTCTTGTTGACCTCATTTGTTTTCTTCAGTTTTATTTATATTTTTAAATATCAAAAAGCTTTTGAATTTAGTTATCAAGTCTAATTTTTTCACTGCCTAATGTGCTTCTGTATTATCTTTTTTTCTGAAATAATTGCTTGTTTATCTTGAATTGAGTACTTAGTTCATTTCTCTCTTAATATTACCACAATAAAATAATTTAAAGATAAAAATAATGATATGCAAGGTTTTGTTCATTTGTGTTCTTTGATCAAGATATGAAGTACGTGGTAAGGTATAGGTTTACCTTTAGGATACAAAGCTTGATATATTTAATTATGATATTCTTTAATTCCTCCATACCATTTGTTATTTTTCCCATTTTATATATGAAAACGTTTAAGCACAGTGAGACTAAGATCTGTACACAATATCATGTGGCTAATAATGAAAATAGAATGTAAAAATACGGCATCTGATTCTAAAAAACACTCTGTCCAATAAATTATGGTGCTTTTGTTTCCTTACCTTAAAATTATCTTTTCTAAACAGGTCCATGTAATTTTTCATAGTCAGTCTTAAGTTGGGTTTTGATTTGCAAAATGCCCTAAAATCTAACATGGCAGTTCTGCAAGTTAATTCTAAAGTTTCCGATACATTCGGGGAATGTTGCCTCGCATCATACTGTTTTATCCTCTTCCAGACGTGTTTGATTGTATTCTTAGACAATCCTGTTTGGATGTGGCATAAACTCACAAATCTAACTGCCAGGGCTTATCTTACTACAGCCTCAAACATTCACTCAGTTCAGTTGATCTGAAATGTGGTGGCATCATTTCTAATTTCAATTTGAACCCATCTGATGTTTTATAGTTACCCTGAAACAAGTTAAAAATAACAAGAATAACAAACTCTGCACTGTAGTCTCAGGAATATGATTGGCTAGAAAAAAGAAACTAGGAAATCAATTCACAAATTCAAACCTTTGCTCCTCCTCTTTTTAACTCTAGTTTATCTATGGGGAAAAAAATACTATAATGTGATTGGGAGAATATCCATCCATGTACAATTATAGGAAAAATACCTGACATGTCAACATCGTAAAATCATGTTTGTGTGTATAAATGAATATGTGTATGTGTGTGTCTCTGTGTCTGTGTATGAGACAGAAGAGGAATGTGTGTTCATTATGTCACGAATAATATGGCGCAACTTAAAGTCTGGGATTACATCAGTGCTACAGAAAATAATCCTGACTAAAATTATGTTATTATTCAAAATGTATGTGCCAAATTGCACTTCTTGTGCTATTTACAGATAAATCAGTTATCCAAATGCCAAACTGGATGTATGAAGCAAGTGAACAACGTAACAGAATTCATCTTGCTTGGCCTGACACAGAATGCAGAGGCACAGAAACTCTTGTTCGCTGTGTTTACACTCATCTACTTTCTCACCATGGTAGGCAACCTACTCACTGTGGTGACAATCACCACCAGCCCAACCCTGGACTCTCCTAGGTATTTTTTTCTGTCTTTCTTGTCCTTCATAGATAGCTGCTGCTCTTCTGCCATAGCCCCCAAAATGCTATTTGACTTATTCACTGAAAAGAAAACTATCTCCTTCAGTGGGTACATGACTCAGCTCTTTGCAGGACATTTCTTTGGGGGAGTTGAGATCTTTCTGCTCGTGGTGATCACAATGAACAGGCAGGTGTGTGACCTCCTGGTGGCCATGGCATGGGTCGGGGGATTTCTTCACACTCTGATTCAAATGCTTTTGATAGTCTGGCTGCCCTTCTGTGGCCCCAATGTCATTGACCATTTCATCTGTGACCTTTTCCCTCTGCTAAAACTCTCCTGCACTGATGCTCACATCTTCGAACTCTTCGTTGTCACCAACAGTGGGCTGATGTGTATGCTCATTTTTTCTTTTCTTATTAGCTCGTATGTCCTAATCCTCTGCTCACTAAAGACTCACAGCATGGAAGGACCGCGGAAGGCTCTCTCTACCTGCACCTCCCATATCACTGTGGTCGTCCTATTCTTTGTTCCCTGTCTGTTCGTGTACCTTCGTCCCATGATCACCTTCCCTATTGATAAAGCTGTGTCTGTGTTTTATACTGTGGTAACTCCCATGTTAAACCCTTTAATCTACACCCTCAGAAACGCAGAGGTGAAAAACCATGAAGAAGCTGTGGAGCCAAATAATATGGGATAATAATTTGTGTAATTAGAGAAGATAAAAAGAAAACCTACTCATATTTTAACCACAGGTATGACTAATGAAAAGGGTAAAGGTCTTGAGGTCAGAATATGTGTGTTTAAGTATAGTTTGTTCCCCTTATTTTCTGGAATCTTTAATGATGCTTTTTCGTAAAAGATCAATATTTGATTAAATGATGACTAAAGTTTCTACCAATTAGAAACTTCTTCACACTTACAAATTATTAATCCAGGGGGACATTGCTAGTCAACATAAAAATGCTACAGTATATGGAAAATCCATGAGTTTATGTGTTTAATAGAACAATTAACTGCAAAGCTTCAGTATAGAGTATATAACTAACAGGCTAAATAATTAAAATAAACAAAAAGGCCTAATGGCTAGATATTTTGTTGAAAATGCATAGTTTTAATCCCAACTAATAAAATCAAAGTAGAACTATTATTGTGAGAGAGAGAGATGGATTAGAAATGATTAGGATTTGAGGAATGAGAGTTATTAAGGAAGAACTCATCCAAAATTAATGCTGTCATGTTGCACAACTTCAGGGGTTACCATTTACATTATAATCTAGCTCTCTCCAAAATAAATTATTTAATAGTATTATAAATTATGTAATATCCCACTCAATATTATATTGAAACTCTTAAATAATATATTATTTAATATATAATATAATATTTAATATTATCATATTATATGATAATCTTATATTAATTATATTATACATTATATAATAATATAATATTATTAAATAATTTATTACTAAATTATTTTCTCTGTTTAAAGCCAAAGAGGAATAGAAAATTCGTCCAGGTTCAATCCTAGAACAATCTTGGACATTATTTCTCAGGTAGAAGATATTTCCTGAAGCACTATTTTTCTGTCAAAAATATCCTATACACCACTTCACCTCAAAAATGGCTTTTATTGGATGTATTTGTGCCTTACCAAAAGGAATAAAGTAGCTGACACAAAAGAAAATTGGTGGCCGGGTGTGGTGGCTCACACCTGTAATCCCAACACTTTGGGAGGCAGAGACAGGCAGATTACTTGAGGCCAGGAGTTTGAGATGAGCCTGGCCAAAATGGTGAAACCCCATCTCCACTAAAAATACCAACTTAGCCAGGCATGGTGTCCTTGCCTGTGATCCCAACTACTTGGGAGGCTGAGGCACAAGAATCACTTGAACCTGGGGGGCAGAGGATGAAGTAAACCAAGATCATGACACTGTACTACAGGCTGGGTGACACTGCAAGACTCCATCTCAAAAAGAAGGGGGGAAAAAAGGGAACTGGTGATCTGTGAGTAATTAAGGCAGAAATTCTGCACATTCAAATTTGAATAAAGAACGCTGCCCAACTGCAGACCACTGGGATGCGAAGTAATTTGAGATGCAGATATAGTGCAATCCTAAGAAAAATCATCCATATTTTTTAAAAGATCTAGACCAGGGCCGGGCCAGATGTCCTGCAAATCTCAACAACTTCATCTCTACCTTCATAAGAACTGAATTAACCCACAGGACTCCACAACCATGCTTAAATCTTCAGTATGTATTACACGTAAATTAATATTCAACAATTTAGTAAATAATTTATTCCAAATAGGAGATCAGTTTTTCTCAACTGTAGCTAACCCATTTTCTGGAAATATCTAGGTGCTACCATCATGATTTCCAGCCACTTCTTTTTAAGGAGGGCCATGTTCGCAAAAGTGATATAAATCACATTCAGGCATAACCATTTAGGAGCCAGTGAGCCACTCCCCAGCTTTATTCATTGGGGAGTGGCTACAGCAAACCTGGGAGACACAATCTGACATGAAACAGCCACACAGAACAACAGCCTGGATTACTAAGTAACTACCAGGAGAACAGCTGCCCTAGAGAATCACCCAACCCTCAGCTCAACGGATTTGGCTTAAACGAGAAATAAAATTGTATGTGTTAAACCACTGAGAGTTCAGAATTCATTTGTTACCACAGCAAAACGCAGCTTGTGCTGACTAATGACACAACTAACTTTATCTTTTAAGGGACTTAAACACACTTGTAACAGTTAACATAACTTTTGCAACCATCTTGATTCTCAAATAGCATAATGGGTGAATAGCAATCCTTACAAAATCAAGTCCAAATAGAGCCATTTTCAGCTTTGGTGTAACACACTATGGTAACTGATACATTTAAACCATAAATTTATAACCATCTTCCTTTTCCCTCTACCTAACATGTAAGGCAATACTGAAGAAAATTATACAATTATACGCTAAGTGAGTACAGAAATAATTGTGAACTCCAATATGAACTAGGTCTTCAAATCTTCCTGAGCAAAATTTCTGGCTATTATAGCCAGGTCCTTCTTTCTACACATTCTGATTTGTTTGTTTTTGTTTGTAAGTAGTTTATTTCACAGCAATAGATAACTGAAATGGGCAAAGGTGGAAGACAGACACAGGACACCAGTGGGTCAGCTTCTGCAGTCATTTAGGGAAGAAATGATGGACTTGAGCAGACTAGTAGAAGTGAGGATAGTAAATGGTCAGATTCAGGACACATTTTATCAGTGCAATTTTCAGGCTGAGATGCTAGGGAAAGAAAGGTATATAGAAAAGCAGTGAGCTCCTGCCTGTCCCTCCTCTCCAGACACTCCTTAGAGACAACTACTTTAGATTCCTAGCTTTCTCTTTGATAGTTACCACCATGTTGCACCAACCAGTTGCTTATACTTAGTCTTTTTTCTTTCTTTCTTTTCTTTTGCTTTTTTTAAAAAATAAGATTAAATCATTGCATAGAGAAATCCTTCCTGACCAAGAAACAAAACCTCAAAAGCACCAAAAGACCACCAAAAAATTTTAAAACCTTCTGCATTATTTTTAAAATGCCACAATTAAACGAAGAGCTATAATGAAAACACTTGCAAAACATAACAAAAATCTCATGCCCTAAATATATAAATAATTCTAAAGAAAAAGTCAAATAGAGACTAGCATTCAGCTGCTTTAAGAATTTCACTTTATATTTGCTGTGCTTTGATGTATGAGTTTTAGACATGTCTCATTCTCCAATGGTTTCTCAGAACACGGTGGTCTCAGGGTTTCAAGATGGTGAAAAGGGAAGTTTTGAGACCTCTTAAAGCCTCAGCAATGGAAATCACACAATGTCCCTTCTTGTTTTACTGGGTCAAAACAAGTCATAAGGCCAACCCAGATCAAAAGGGTAAAGACATAGACTCCCGGTTTCACTGGGAGAAACAGCAAAGTCCCATTGCAAAGTGGTGTGGATACAGAGATGTGTCGTTCTTTGAGATCATTATTATAGCAATCCCCCATACGATGTCTAAAAATGCCTTTCCTCTGCACTCACAATTGATTGTTTGCCTGGTAATTTTATTTTAGATTTTTAACTATCTTTTCTAAGAATGAAAGCATTGCTGCATTGTCTTGTAACTTCCAGTACTGTTGACAAGGGTATGTCATTTTGATTTCTGTTCCTTCATATGTGATCTCATATTCTTCTCCGAAATCTTTCAGGATCGACATCTATTGTATAGTGCACCCTTGACATAAGTAACTCCATCTTACAAAAAGATCCACATTAACATTTAATAAGGCACTTTGTCAACTGAGATCAGATGTTTTGCCTGATCAATAAAAACTGCACCCAGGCCAGGTGTGGTTGCTCACAACTGTAATCCCAGCACTTTGGGAGGCCAAGGCAGGCAGAACACCTGAGGTTAGAAGTTTTAGACCAGCCTGGTCAAAAGGGCAAACCCCAACCTCTACTAAAAATTAAAAAAAATTAGCCAGGCATGGTGGCTGGCACCTGTAATTCCAGCTAGTTATCAGGCTAAGGCACAAGAATCACTTGAACCTGGGAAGCAGAGACTGCAATGAGCCAAGATCTTGCCACTGCACTTCAGCCTGGGCAACAGAGTGAGACTCTGTCTCAAAAATAAATAAATAAATAAATAAAGACTGCATACAATCAGATAAGGACTCTGTGGCCATAAAAAGCACAGGACTTCAGCACCTTGAATTAGCTGTCTTAATAGACACTGTCTTATTGTCACTTGTGAGAAGCACCTGGCATCTGCCACTGAAGGCTCTGCCCACATCAAAGATGCTTTCTTACAAGACCAATGAAACACTTGGCCCAGACAAGGAAATTCTTTTTGTCTACATTGCTCTCCCTGTACCGGTTTGTTAACCTCTCTTCCTATTCCCTTTCTCTGGATGTTAAATATTACTTTGTTTGTTGTGGAATGTTTAAGCTATAACATGTATATATTAAGTGTACTATTACGTAGGATTTGCAATATTGACTTACGGAATGGCTTGTTGGGCTCTGTGCCCAAGTGAATGGGAAGTACTAAGGAGAACTGCCTCCTTGGGAAATCAATGTAGCTTGAGGCTTTTATGATTGAGATGCCATCAATAAAAGTCAGACATCATGGAAAGACACTAGTGTGCATGGTGTCGGTTATCTCTGACCTTGTGCTGCTCGTGGGATCTACAGTGTGATGAAATTTCATAACATGGCCTTGTGTGAGTTTTCTTTTTTCTTTTATCTCCTCCTCTTTCTGTTTTTCATTTACTGTGTTAAGCATCAGAAGGTCATTTTAATCTGGAAATGCATATCCTTTGGTTTTGAAGTTTTTCTGATATAATTTCTTTGATATATTTTCAACAAATATATTTTCTAACAAAAAAATTAGAAGAGTATCATTATCTTACATTTTAAAACATCTCTTTTCTTAATTTCAATAGCTTTATGAGTATAAGTGGTTTTGTTTACATAGGTAAATTGTATAAAGGTGAAGTCGGGGCTTTTAGCATACCTGTCACTGAATAGTGTACAGTGTACTCAATAGCTGGCTTTTTTATCCCTTGTCTCTCTCTCACCCTTCCCACTTCTGAGTTTCCAATGTCCAGTATACCAGTCTGCATGCCTTTGTGTATCCATAGCTTAGTTCCCACTTATAAATGAAAAC